CACACCACCGAGTCCTTATTTCCCTTCCCATTGACCTTGCCTTTCCCCGGGATATTTTCGAGCTGGCCAAAAAGAAAATAGAGCGATACCTCAATATGACTCGCACCTGACTCGAACAGGCGTTATCTGCTTCATCTGTTATTTCGATGAAGAATTAAGCACAGATAGGTACCACACCACCGAGTCCTTATTTCTCTTCCAACTAACCTTGCTTTACCCTAGATTTTTCAGAGCTGTCAAAAAAGGAACATGAGCTGCAATGACTCAGGCCTGAGTCGAACAGGCGCTGTCTGCCGGGATTCTTCCACCACATGTGCATTGAGCGCAGAGGGGTACCACACCACCGAGTCTTTATTTCTCTTCCAGCTAATCTTGCCTAGCCTTGGGATTTTTGAGAACAGCTAAAAAAACAACTAGCCAAAAATCCTGGTTGACCATATATGACTCAGGCTTGATTCGAACAGGTGTTATCTGCTGTACTCGTTTACACTTCACAGCGCACAGATTGGTATCACACCACTGAGTCTTCATTTCCCTTCCCATTGACCTTGCCTTACCCCGGGATATTTTGGAGCTGACCAAAAAGAAAATAGAGAGAAGCTTCAATATGACTCGAGCCTGATTCGAACAGGCTTGTCTGCTTCATTCAGCACGATTCACTATAATTGAGCGCAGACAGGTACCACACCACCGAGTGTTCCGTCTATTCCAACTAACCAGTCTAACCTTGCCCTTCCCCTGGAGTTCGGAGCTGCCCAAAAAAGTGTATGCAGAGTTAGGCATGACTCGGGCCTGATTTGAACGGGCATTATCGCTGGACTGTTTCACCACAGGGTATCGAGTGCAGATAGGCCCCACACCACCGAGTCTTCATTTCCCTTCCCATTGACCTTGCCTTACCCCGGGATATTTTGGAGCTGGCCAAAAGGAAAATAGAGCGATACCTCAATATGACTCGGCCCTGACTCGAACAGGCGTTATCTGCTTCATCTGTTATTTCGATAAACAATTAAGCACAGATAGGTCCCACACCACCGAGTCCTTATTTCTCTTCCAACTAACCTTGCTTTACCCTGGATTTTTCAGAGCTGTCAAAAAAAGGAACATGAGCTCCTATGACTCGGGCCTGAGTCGAACAGGCGCTGTCTGCCGGGATTTTTCCACCACATGTGCATTGAGCGCAGATGGGTACCACACCACCGAGTCCTTATTTCTCTTCAAACCAACCTTGCCTTGCCTTGGGATTTTTGAGAGCAGCCAAAAAAAACTAGCCAAAAATCCTGGTCGACTATTCATATGACTCAGGCCTGATTCGAACAGGTGTTATCTGCTGTACTCGTTTACCCTTTCACAGCGCACATATTAGTATCACACCACCGAGTCGTATTTCTCTTCCAATCAATCTTGCCTTGCACTGAATTTCAGGAGCTGTCGAAGAAATAAGATGGCACACACACTCAATAATGTATGACTCGGGCCTGATTCAAACAGGCATTATCTGCCTCATCCATTTTTGCGACACAGAATTAAGCACAGATAGGTCCCACACCACCGAGTCTTATTTCCTTCCCTATGAATCTTGTTTTACCTCTGGATTTTTCAGATTTTTCAAAAAAAATGGAATGGAAGACTTCATTCAACATGACTCGGGCCTGATTCGAACAGGCGTTGTGACGGTCCGTTGTCTACTGTATTGTTGCATCACATGTTTATCGAGCACAGTTTGGTACCACATCACCGAGTCGTATTTCTCTTCCCATGAACCTTGCCTTGCCCTGGATTTGTTGGAGCAGTAAAAAAAAACTGAGATTATTTCAATTTATAACTCGCTGATTCAAGCAGGCTCTCTGCTTATATCGACTCTTGCTGGCTCCATACTGAGAGCAGGTAGATCCTACACCGCCGAGTCTCATTTCTACTTCAAATAACTTTACCCCACCATCAACAATGGCCAAGTAATAAAAAAAGTTGGAAAATAGAGATTCAACCAACTCCGGGATCGTGATAATTGAACCTTGGGCAACTGAATTCTGGCTCTATTCCTCTTGTTGGTAAGTTGAAGCAGACATGTTTAATGATTGAAGCCGCCTGCGCCCTGGAGAGATGCCATCCAGATGCGCGTTTTGTAGAGCCTGTGGAGAGGGTACACATGAGTATATGGGTAAAGCAATGTGGCCAAAAAAAAAGGATAGAAGAGGAGGAGAGGGTGGAGGGAGGATGTCCAAGGCGAAGGGAACCAGAAGTGGGGCGACGAGCGAAAAGGAGCAGGTGCCGAGTAACAAGGTAACGAGGGAAGGCGGAGGAAAGTATCAGATGAAGGAAAGAGAAGGGGGGGATGACCGAGAGGACAGGGTGAATGGCAAGAATGGGCAGGCGCTGAGTCAAGATAACAAAGGAAAGCGAACGGGAGGAGATAGGACAGACGACCTCGTAGGTGGGTGGGGCAAAAGGGAGCGGAAAAGCCAGCCGCGCAAAGCCAAGAAGAAAAGACAGTGTGCGAACGATGATGGACGAGAGAAGGGATAGGCGGTGCGCATGGGGGCGAAGGAAGAAGGCACGGGGAAGGGTCGACGACGGGAGCAGAGAAGGGAAAGAAGGTGCGGTGCACGAAACAACGGAGCGGAAAAGGGTGGGGCGGCAAGGGAAGGGAGGGTGGACTTGAAAAATAAGGTGCGGATGACGAAAGAGGGTAAGGTCAAGAAAAAAGGGAACGGGGTAGGTCAAGGAAAGTCAGAAAGCTCGAAGGGTGAAACGAGGATGTCTGCCCACCACTCGCGCCCACTGCCGCGCAGGGAGTAGCATATCAGCGCGGTCGAGGAGAGAGCGAGAACTGCGCCCAGAAGGAGCAGGCGGCGCACGCGCGTCGGGGGCGTGGACCAGTGACCACAGGGCCTATGAGTGCTTTGCATTGCGGAGCGTCCCATTGCCGTTTGCGGATGTGGGGAGGACGGCGTACGCCGGGTCTGGCCAGGGTAGCGCTGTGAGTAGTTTAATTGGGCGTCGTTGGCCGTGGACACGGGAATATAGGTGACGTAAGCAGTTGCGGGGCATCCAATAGGGGTGGGCAAGGTACCGCGTCCAATACAAAAGCTTAATTCTGCCACCCTTCCGCCACCTATCACTTTTACATATATCAACATCCTGTGGCCCTAGAGTTGGCCCTGGGACCCCTCAAAATCCCATTCACGACTGACCCGGACGAAAAGAAAGCTGATCTTCCCCCCCAAAAAAATTATCGCCTGGGCCTGGCACCAGAATGATTCGGGCCGGATTCGAACAGGCCTTGTCTGCTTTATGGCACCTAGGAAGAAAAGTCCCGAGCAAAGCAGGGTTAGTTGGAAGGGAAAATACTAGGACTCGGTGGTGTGGTGCCACTCTACATTCAATAGCATCGAAACATACGAGCAAAAAAAACGAATGCAATGCCTACATGACTCGCGCCCGATTCGAACAGGCATTGTCCGCTTAACCCTCAAATCCAGATTTTAAGGAGGTGCCAAAAAAATATGCTGGGGAGCGCGCCATGACTCGGACCTGATTCGAACACAATGTTACACATATTATCTGCTTCATCTATTTTTTCAAAACAGAATTAAGCACAGATAGGTCCCACACCACCGAGTCGTATTTCTCTTCCAATGAACCATGCCTTGCCTTGGGATTTTTCGGAGCTGCCAAAAAAAGAGCTTGAAGGGCCTCCGATATGACTCGAGCCTGATTCGAACAGGCTTATCTGCTGTAAAGATTTCCTACTATACCACACAGCGCACAGATTGGTACCACACCACCAAGTCGTATTTCCTTCCCTATGAACCTTGTTTTACCTCTGGATTTTTAGGTGCCAAAAGAAAAGAAATTTGGGCACACTTCTATGACTCGAACCTGGTCCGAACATTGCTTCATCTACTTTTTTGACACAGAATTAAGCACAGATTGGTACCACACCATCGAATCTTTATTCCTCTTCCCACTAACCTTGGCTTTCCCAAGATTTTTCGGAGCTGTCAAAAAAAAAAGAGTGCAGTGACTGTTTGACTCATGATTCGGAACTGATTCGAACAGGCAATCTGCCTGCATTATTCCACCACATGTGCATTGAGCGTAGATTGGTATCACACCACCGAGTCTTCCTTCCCATCCAATTGACCTCGCCTTACCCCATTTTAGGACCTGTCAAAAAAGAGGTATCAGGACTTTTTTACATGATTAAGAATCAGGCCTGATTCAAGGAAGTTTGTCGGCTGATATTAGAGTGTTTGCGATGCAGCCATTGGAGCCACCACGTGGCTGATTTACGTTGCGAAAGTTGATGGCTCCACAACGATAACATTTGGTCTTCTACTCACTACACACTGCACTATATTTGAATATTCTGTCTATACAATAAAGACATGTTCCAAGTCCCATGCTGCTTCACATTGAAGCCATGTGCAGGCAAAATCTAAGTACCTGGCCAGAACCGGCCTTCTTGGGAAATCCATTGATGGTCTAAGGCCTCTGGAAGATCGGCGAGAAGTGTATTGAATGCAAGAGGTGTTTCTAATAGCTCAATCTTCATTCTGAGTGGCTCAGACATAAAGACAAAAAAAGTTCACCGAGCCATCAGCCATCAACTATCGCAACGCAAATCAGCCACATGGTGGCTCCAATGGCTGCATCGCAAACAGGCTATTGGTCCACAAAATTCAACTAGGGAGTGTATATGGGTACCACACCGCCGAATCCTTATTTCTCTTCCAACTAACCTTGCCTTGCCTTGCCTTGGGATTTTTGAGAGCAGCCAAAAAAAAACTAGCCTGGTCGTCTATTATTATTTATAATAATTGAACTCTGGCCTGATTTAAACAGGCGTTATCTGCTGTACTCGTTTACACCTTCACAGCGCACAGATTTGTACCACACCACCGAGTCTTATTTCTCTTCCAATCAACCTTGCCTTGCACTGAATTTTAGGAGCTGTCGGAGAAAAAAAAAATGGCACACACATGTCACTCAATGTATGACTCGGGCCTGATTTGAACAGGCATCATCTGCTTCATCTACTTTTTCGACACGGAATCAAGCACAGATAGGTACCACACCACCGAGTCCTTATTTTTCTTCCAACTAACCTTGTCTTGCCCCTGGATTCTAGGACCTGTGAAAAAAAAAAAATCGGACATACATATCTCCATGACTCGGGCCTGATTCGAACAGGCATTCTCTGCAGATCATGACTTGCTACTCTACTCGTATTCTTTAATTGAGCGCAGATAGATACCACACCACCGAGTCGTATTTCTCTTCCAATCAACCTTGTTTTACCCCTGCATTTTTCAGATTTGTCAAAAAAAAAGGGAATCCAGGCTTCAACATGACTCGGGCCTGATTCGAACAGGCGTTGTGACGGTCCGTTGTCTTCCGTATTGTTGCACCGCATGTTTATCGAGCACAGTTTGGACCACACCACCGAGTCGTATTTCTCTTCCAATGAACCTTGTCTTGCATTGGGATTTTTAGAAGGTGCCGAAAACAAAACTGCCAATGATCAACAACCGCATGACTCGAGCCTGATTCGAACAGGCATTGTCTGCTGTACTTCTATCTACACCTTCACAGCGCACAGATAGGTCCCACACCACCGAGTCTTACTTCTCTTCCAACTAACCTAACCTTGCTCTGCATTTTTCGGAGTTGAAAAAAGGTTTACGAAAGCCTGTCGATGACCCGGACCTGATTCAAACGGGCTTGACTGCTTTATTTCCATAATGAATCTTAATGGTACGCGTACAGGTGCCACGGACCAAGTCTTATTTCCCTTCCAGCTAACTTCGATTAAACACATTTGGCAGTGGTGGCACCAAAAGAAAAGGAGATCTAACAACCCTCATGACTCAGGCCTGATTCGAACAGGCATCATCTGCCAAGCATTCCAAGCTTGCATCGAGTGCAAATTGGTACCACACCACCAAGTCCTTATTTCCACTCCAACTAACCTTGCCTTACCCCGGGATATTTTGGAGCTGGCCAAAAAGAAAATAGAGCGAGACCTCAATATGACTCGGGCCTGATTCGAACAGGCATTATCTGCTTATATCGACTTCAATATTGCGCAAATATTGAGCGCAGATTGGTACCACACCACCGAGTCTTCATTTACCTTCCCATTGACCTTGTCTTACCTTGGGTTTTTCAGAACTGTCGAACAAAAAGAGTACACTGACTTCTACTCATCACTCGGGCCTGATTTGCACAGGCATCATCTGCTGCACTGGTTCAACAATGTCCTTGAGCACAAATTGGTATCACACCACCGAGTTGTATTTTCAGTTCCCACTAATCTTGTCTTGCTTCTTTAGGTGCCAAAATAAAATAGAGATCAACTCCGGGATCGTGATAATTGAACCGTGGGCGACTTGATTCTGGCTCTATTCCTCTGAAAAAATAAAAATAAAAACCCCCCGGAGAATGTATTCCAAAGCTTGCCTGTGTGCCCCCTCAGGTATTGTGCCCCAGTCTGGCACAGGAAAAAAGAAAAAGTTGCTTTTTTAATGCCATTAAACACCACCAAAAAACGCTAACAATTCTCAAACGAGGTTCAGATATAATCTTCCGCGTCGCGATCCAAAATTGGTCCGAACTCATCCCGGTTATCTCACGTACCACCATTGTCTAAAAGAGGAATAGCAGGGCGGAGTGGAGAATAACAAGTTCGCTATTCCTGGCAAATTTCTGCTGGTGGCGAGAGTCGGCGCTGGCGTCTACGGTGTTTACTGTGAGCGGCCAAAGCAACAGTATAGTAGACAAAAGTCACCTGCGCGACCCTTTCACGATTGACTCGATGATGTGTACCAGACTCGGCCGATTCAATGGGTTGTGAGCCCAAGCGTCGCGCATTAGGCTGGTGACCCAATCGGGCACTGTTGTAGGATAACCGGGGCGCTGACCCAGGATAACTTTCAATATGACAGCTCCCTCCGATTGGATTTCGGAGAATGGAGGTTTTCCCGTGTAAAGCTGTGGTCCTAGACATCAACATCGCAGGAAAACGATTATATATGATACACATACCTCTAGGCAGACACACGCGAAGGAGTAGATGTCGCTAGAGAAGGTTCTCTGGAATTCTTTCATTCCGCAAGATTCAGGGTGGAGAAGTTCCGGTGCCATCCAACGAGTGGAGCCGCCCCGATTAGTGGGAGCCAGCGGTGAATGGGCGAAACGAGCTAAACCGAAGTCTGCCAAGCGGACGTGGTTCTCATCATCAATCAAAATATTTGCCTGCCTGAACGTCAGATCATGCAATGTGAGAAACGGTGAAATCCGTTTACTGCTTTCAGGTCTCCGTGAACAACCTCTTGTGAATGCAGATATTGCAGTCCCCTGGCAATTTCGTATATCTAGATTTCTGGTTAATGTTGCGTTGATTAATGTACATATGCTGCCTCACCCAAATAGGGATACGACTCGGTTCCGGCCTGCCATCAGGTCCGACAACGGACCCTTTGCTCATCCATGGTGATACCATACACATATATCCCGGACAGCTCCTAGAGTCGATACCAATAAATGGCAATATGTAATCGTGGTCTAGATTCTTCCAGATCAACGCCTCACGGAGAAAACTCTGAATGGCAAAAATATAAGCCCGGTTGTTTCTCATTAGACCAGCTAACCTGGCGAACATCCTTCTCGAGATTTTCTGTCTTGAAAAATCGCAGTTGTTTGAGGGCGACAGGACTGGCTTGGTATTCCGCGCGAAAGATGTCCCCAAAGCTTCCACCGAAAACAGGCTCATCACTTCTCTGGCTAATTCCTTTAATCATCAAGGAGGATGGCAGAAGTCCTGTGGTCTCGGAAATCTTCACTATGAGGCGGCGGGCTTCTAGGTGAGCCGAATTCCGACCAACGTGGCGAAGAAGTCCCAGATTTCTAGCATTCACCAGAAAAGCTCGACGGGCTTCTCGCAAGCGTAGGGTGGATCCATTATTAAAATAGAGCCAGTTCAGATGAGTGAGAATTGCCTGCATAAAAAGGTCACTACTGGAAGACTGTCGCGGGGAAACGACCAACATCCTGTGTAAGATCCAGAATGAACTGAGCATCATCTCCACGAAGCTTCATGATGTCCCCTACGTCCGCTTTTGATGTAAGAAGCTCGGAAAAGACGAGTATGATCATCAAGGAGTCGGACCACATCACGTCTTTGAGAAGCTGTGTATCTTCAATATCCATCCCCGACACGATCTTGAAGAATGCTATCAACTTTGGGGGTCAAGAGGCCTTCCCATATGCGTACCTTGAACAAGCGTTTAAGCAGGCCGCGGCTCTCAGTCAGAAAAGTTGTAAGAGTGGGATCCGACCCCACCGTATGTGATTCCAATTCAGCCGTCAGCTCGGAAAGCGCGATCCATTGTTCCTTCTCGCGGGCATGAACAGCCAGTTCCCGAATTGTATTCTGTAAACCAAAGCTTAACCGTCCTAGTGGTCAGACGATCTGACGACACACACCTCGTAGGCCTAGAGCAATGCGATTTATTAATATCCATGAAAATGTCGGCCAAAGGCGTACCTGTAATTTTCTGCGGTGTATCTGATATCGGAGTGGCCAAAAATGCTCCTCGACCTCAACACCACATGTCATCACTTTCGCATCTCGATCAATCTCATCCTGAGATAGCGTCCTTGGAGGCTCGCTCGGTGTTTCTGGCGACTTGAGGAAAGCAAAGTTAGCAGGTGAGAATGATTGAAATTGAAGGTGGATCCCATACACAGTCACCAGATTCTTCGAACGCTGTCGCAACATCGTCAGTTGCTTCAAATTTCCAACGGGGATGTTGAAGTACTACCAAAACACCGAGGTCAGCGTAGTTGGGAAGTGAGCAAAGTGGGAAATTTGCTAACGGCGAGGCTCCGACCAAGGCATCCTCTCCCACCAGGACAAGGGCTCTCCCCAGAGCCTCCGAGGGAACGCCCCTTGTAAATTGTTGGCGCCCTAATTGCTCAAAGAAGGATCCGGGAACGAGAGGTCACGGCCCACTTTAGAATTGGCCTGGAGTCCGCCATCAGATGAAGCAGAAGCGTATCGTGTTGAGACAGAGGAAGAGGATAGCTTGAAGGGAGACCACTGTTGCTGGGGCGTTCTAAATGAGTAGCCTGACATATGAAGAGGAATTTATAGCAGGTGCGGAATGACTTGCACGGAATATATAGGGGACGGCGATGGGCCGCGTTTTAGCCGCGTTACCACTGGCAGAAGTGATTGACACCTTCGTATAATTAGCCAGCAAAGCTGTAGACACAGCAGTCCCAGTGGTGAGAAACATCCCGAGCAAATGGCGTCAATGGCAAGTCATTAAACATGGACCGGTACAACAACGCTCTGCAGAGAAAAGGAGTATAGTATGATATTTAGCTCCGACCCCCCCGCTTCTCAGTCAATGCTAATGACATTGTCATCTAAGCGGTCGTCCTTCCCATCCATCAGAATAAGCCCATCCTCGTCCAGCTGGTGCTTTTTGCTGGGACTGACGATAACGTTGTTGCAGGGAGCGTGGTTGCGAGCATGATGACGCCGCGACCCGCTCCGATCGTGGCCCGGAAGCACGGCGCCACAATAACAGCAAGTACAGCAGCAGGAGCGCAGGACTGCACCGCCGACACGCTCCATTGGCATGGACTCGAGCGAACAGGGCGCCAACATATGACATATGCGTGTCCGCAGCGCATATCGCGATGCTCAGCGGCCGTGGCTAGATGAAGAACAATTCCAAGCGGTCGCCCCACCCCCGCCCAAAAAAGAACAAGGGATGCGTACCCTTCCACCGCAACAGGAGCAGCAACCGGCTACCCACCAGCCTATGAAGAAATGACGATGACGTCATGGGGCGCTGCGGTGCATCCGCCAGCAGCGTTGTGCGAGGCACGTTGCGTGAACCGTTGTAGCCACGCAAGGACATTGTTCTGTCGGCCGATGGCGTCAAGCCACCTCCCCCCGCACGCACAAAGTAAAAGACGGCGCGCAGTAGACGATGCCCGCATCACGTATCCAGAGATGATAACGCGCTGAGCCAAGCGGCAGCTGGACCTCTCGCTCCCAGGCTGGGACAAG